CACCCCCACCTCTAATTCTAATTATAGGTTATCCAGTGAATCTAGCAGCCAGTGGGCATTAGTGGTACAGTTCTGCAGGCTACACGATATGAAACTAAGCATATCTTACCTCAGAGAATGTGCCAAAGCAAATGATTGGCTGCAGTTCATTATTCACAGCCAACTCCACAACTACCACCCAGCAGAGGTAAGCCACTAATTGCTAGCAGTCACTCAAAAGGAAATAGGAACACTTCTCAGAAGATAGCATTCTTTCTATTGTGTAGACATAGGCCTTTTTTTTTTTTTTCTTGACATCCGGGATACGTACTGGATCCATGGGCTTTTGTTTCATGTGATACTATTATTTTTCCTAAGATTTCAGTGGGTTGGCATCAGACAAGGCACTAGTCATTAGTACTGAAGAGCTGAAAAGCTTTTGTGACTTCAGATTGAATATGGAAATTCACTCAAAAGCACCATACAACTTTGTAAAATTATATAGTAGTCACTCTGACTTAGTTCAGGGTGAGAAAGCATAATTTTGTCTATACTTTTCTCTAACATTTTCAGCTCCAGTTGAAACTGAAAGTTGGGTTTTTGTTTAACCATCTGATATGCCTTCTAGGTGAAATCCCTTATCCAGTACTTCAGCCCAGTCATTCAGGACCACTTAAGGCTGGCTTTTGAGAACTTGCCCTTAGTGCCCACCTCCAAAATGGACATCAATCAAGTCTGCAATAAGTCCTCCCAGGAACTTCAGGGAAGCAAAGAAGTGATGACCGATTTATTTGAAATTCTGCTCCAATGCTCAGAGGAGCCAGACTCCTGGCACTGGCTTCTGGTTGAAGCAGTGAAACAACAGGCCCCTATCCTCAGTGTTCTGGCCTCATGTCTCCAGGTGAGGATCATGAGAAGCCTAAATTAAGTACCCAGAGAACAATAGAATAAGTGATGAGGGACAGGAAAGGCTGATAATCAGAAGTGGGATGATGATGATAGTGAGGTTCCAGCATGTGTTTCCAAGTTCACTGCAACTTTTTGTGCTTCTCTAGCTTAGGCTCTGGGCCATTTAGTGTACCTGCTTGTGCCTTAACATTCAGTGAACTCAAGTGGTCAGAGCCTTGGCTCCTGGTTGGCAGTCACAGAGAAAGATGCTTTGGTGGACTGACCACCAGTGTTTCTTTGGTGCCTTCTTTAGCAGGGAAAAGGGACATTCCAGACAGTCCTTTAATCAGCAGATCAGTGGAGGGCAATCCTACTCTCTTACAATTCGTACTTCCCTGACTTTCACATATTCCCCCTTCTGTCTGCTTCTTGGTCTTTTGACCTGCAACACTCTGCAGGACAGTTTAGAACGGTCCCTTGGTTGCTCATTAGTTTGTTTCATGTATGAAGGCTTTTCAAGCCATTTTAACTAATTAAGTTGGGTGACTTATTCTAAACAGGAAATACCCATCTGTAGCATTTGAACATTTGCCAGGTAATCCAGGCCTAGTTGTTATTTTATTTATCCCATGGCAGGGTGCCAGTGCCATTTCATGTCTCTGTGTTTGGATCATCACTTCTGTGGAGGACAGTGTTGCAACTGAAGCCATGGGACGCATTCAGGACTCGATAGAGGACCATACCTGGAACCTTGAGGATCTTTCAGTCATCTGGAGAGCATTATTAACAAGACAGAAGAGCAAAACTCTCATCAGAGGTTTCCAGCTTTTCTTTAAGGTAGTGATTGTTGCTTCACTTCTTTCCAGAGCTTACGGGGTTACTTCAGCATATCCCCTCTTGGCTTTTTCTTATTTCCATCCTTGCATTTTTTTTAGCCAACAGCAGATGATGATGATGATATTAGAAGTACCATTTACTGGCAGGGCACGGTGGCTCATGCCTGTAATCTCAGCACTTTGGGAGGCTGAGGCGGGCGGATCACTTGAGGTCAGGAGTTTGAGACCAGCCTGTCCAACATGGTGAAACCCTGTCTCTACTAAAAATACAAAACTTAGCCGGGCATGGTGGCATGGGCCTGTAAATCCCAACTACTCGGAAGGCTGAGGGAGGATAATTGCTTGAACCTGGGAGGTAGAGGTTGCAGTGAGCTGAGATCGTGCCACTGCACTCCAACCTAGGTGACAGAGCAAGACTCCATCTCAAAAAAAAA